GAATCAGGGCCTTCTTTGCATACAATTTTTTTTGGTTTTTAACCCTTTCTTAACTTTTAAAAGGCGAAAAAATCCATATGCAAAAGAGGCCCCGAGTTCTCTGGGCTCCTCCTGTAGGTAACACTGAGCAGACACCAAACCACTCTGACTTGGAATCTGGTAGCAACTACCCTGGCTTTAATTATTTTTTAAAAATTCTTTAAAATTCTTTCCTTTCCCTCAGGAGACTGGTGAGGCCCCGCCTCCCCTGCCTCTAGTGACTGCACGTCCCTGAACCACACCATGGCTGGATGGTTTTCATTGTACTAAGTCCTGAGTCCTTTATGCTTCAGTTGCATGGTTTGCTGCACGTGAGAAACTCCCCTTCTGCAATATTGCTGCAGAAGCAACAGTACTTATCTTTGTTTTTCCCTCAGGGCAGAGTCCACAAGTCACACAGTGCAGCAATTACTGACTTCTGCATAGGCTTAACTTAGGGTTATGTATAGAATAATAAGCAGAATAAGTCTCATGGCCAGCAAAAGAATTAATATTCTTCTCTCCTGGGAATTCTGGACTGGGAGAAATTAATCTCCTAAACTGTTATCTTCTTCCTATGCATTGTATTAACTCCTCTTTGGTGACCTTCTATTGCCCAGGGACATACACATCTTCAGAAATCTAAAACTACTTTAATCCAATCCATGCTAGCCATTTTCTCCCTTTCCTTCTCTCAGGCTAACATTTCCCTTCTGCCAGCAATTTAGCCCATTTCAACTTCTTTCCCGTTCTCCTCAAGAAACTCAATGTGTGAAAAGCCCTTATCTTTTTTCTATCCTGACTATTTTTGCCCCTTTCACCCAGGAGATCACCTAACGGGATGGCAGGCATTTGAAAACAAATACATTACAAATAATAGTGTGTAATTCACAGGAGAAACTCAACGAGCAACTAGAAGAACAGCGTCAAGAGCAGGCCCTGCAAAGGTTTCGCTCTGAGGCAGATGAACTTGATCACTGGCTTCTGAACACACAAGCATCTCTAAGCACTACATTGGTGACTGATGAGGAGCCTATGGATATGGATTCTCAGTTGGTTGACTGCCAGGTGGAAAAAATTCTTCATATTTAAATATTATTTCTACTGTAGCTAACAGAGATTTCCTATGTAATTATATTAACATTAATCACAACACGAATGCTGTTTTTATTGATTATGTGCCATCAGATCAGTGTCAACTCTTAGCAATTGGGCCAGTTTTAATTGTGTCAAAATAAAATTCAATTACAGGGCATTATTTCCGGTAACAAGTTAGATGGGTGGGTGGGTGATTTGTTCAGGCGTAAAATATCATACAATGAAGTCTAGTTAATGCAAGTAATTTTAAAATGTTTCAGTAGTGAAAATTTTATGTTTTAAATCTTAAGAGTTATAAATAATTACGGAAGAGAAAAAAAATTTTTTTTAAAATTGAAGAAGTTTAAACTACAATTAGTTTAAATTGTAGTTTGTTGAAACAAGTCAAGATAATCCCATGATTCATGGTCATGGTTTGTTTAATAGTCCACATATTCATAAAATAAACTGAACATAATAATAAACTCCAGGTATCTACGAGACCGTCTTCTGCCGCACACTTCCCAATGACCGATAAGATCGCACAGGGTGGGCCTTCTCCAGGTGCCATCAGCTAGACAATGTCGACTGGCGGTGCCACGGGGGAGGGCCTTCTCTGTAGCTGCTCTGGCCCTATGGAATGAACTACCCCCAGAGATCCGGACCCTACCCACTGTCATGGCCTTTCGAAAGGCTATCAAAACCTGGCTATGCCAGCAGGACTGGGACTGTTGACCTGTCGACCGAGGTCCAGCCCTGATTAGACTGGGTGCATGATGTGTTTCTTTTAATCCGCTTTCTTCTGTTTGTTTTTAACCCTTTTCTTAAAATTTATTTTCTGTAAGCCGCCCAGAGTCCTTCGGGATTGGGCGGCCTATAAATTTAATAAATCCAATCCAATCCAAAAAGGGAAGAGAGTCCTAAACTTTAAATGATTGTCCTTTGAGAAGATGTTAGAAGGAGGCATAAAATTCAAAAGTTTGTTTAAGCAAAGGTGAGAATTATTGTAAAATCTAAAACACATCACTAAATTTTTGTGATCTGATTTACATGAGAAATGAGAGATAAACTATGAAGAACCTAATAAAGTGTTTATAGAAGCAAACAAGTGTTTAATTGGAAGATATTCTAGAAAGAGAATTGGCTGACCTGTTTCTTCTTTGTAATGGGAGAGAGTAATGTCACATGTGCCATGACATCTTTGCATGTAATGAGAATGAGTAGTTGTATCATGATACAAATACATATTTTGCACCATATTAAGTTTATTATAATTTCTACCAGACATCTATGCTTCATTATATAGTCCCCTTTGGGTACAGTTTTAGACAAACTGCTATCCTGCCTCTAATTTATATAAACCTCAGAATTCCATGAAAATATAATGTGATTCAAGCAGCAAATAATTTAACCCAGAAATCCTTAAACTTGTTGATATCAGAATATTTACTGCATATAAACAAATTATCTACATTTCAAAATAAATATGCCAGAGATTTGTCCCTTTAAGTCGCTCTAAGTGAAAGAAGATTATGCAGAGGATCTTAGGCCATTTTTGCACCAATCAGAATACCCACTGTGAGAAGAAGCTTATCAATTCAAGAGAGCAATGAGGGAAGGAAGGGTGAGAAGTGCAGAAGTACATGAAGTAGAAAAATAAGACACAAGCCGTCCGAACTAAATGAGATCTGCCTATTCCAATAATCTAGGGATGTCATTGTCTGCCAGATTGCTGCACTAAAGAAAAAGCATATAAGCAACAGTGACATCCAGCATATAGTTATCACTTATGTCTTTCTTTTCAAACAAAATTGATTTTTTGAAGATTTTTTTTTACAAGTGAAAAATAAATGCAAAATACCTTAAACATGTTTCTCAAACGCTGGGTTTGAGAAAATAATCAGCAACAACCTGAATTTGTTCAGGTGAGTAGATTTTTGATGGATGCTTCAGAATGTATGAATTTGCTTCGTTGTTTTTGCTGTTTCAGAATATGCTTATGGAAATTGAGCAGAAGGTGGTGACTTTGTCTGAGCTGTCCGTACACAATGAAAACCTCCTCATGGAAGGGAAAGCTCAAACCAAGGATGAAGCTGAGCAACTGGCACTGAAACTCAGAACGCTGAAGGGAAGCCTTCTGGAACTACAGAGGGTCCTTCATGACAAGCAGATCAACATCCAGGTAAGAAGCTCTTTTCAATTGGTTTTAAACACTGGGGTTTATATGTAGCAATTGAGAAATAGTATGATGTTTACTGTTAAGAATCTATACTCTGGGATAATGTTTCCTCTTTTTTTTTGTAATATTTGATATAAGTGAATAACAAACTCTGTGAGCTGATTTATTAGCTCAGTTTTATTCCCCACTTTCTACTTTTGTCTCTCTGTGTGTTTGTGCGTGCATGTGGACAAACCACTGACTTGGTCTTAACCCCTAGCAAGTGCTTTGAGCAGTCCCTAAGATTCTCAGAAGGGGTTCACCTTCATCTTCTTTCTAGGGATAAAAGAGAGTGGCTGGCCAACGTGATCCAGTTGGAACTGGGACTGACATCCAGTCTCCTGTTTCTAGTCTGGTGCCTTAACCAGTATACCAAACTGTCTCTCCCCCTATTCTGATGAATATTTTTTGTTTCGGGACCAATGTTCAAATATGGAAACCTTGACATAAAAATGAGCATTAATCAAGTCATACTAATTACTAATTACTAATTACTAATTCTTGGTTAAAATCAGAGAGAAACGGCAAGTAATGTTTTGTTCTAATACAGCATTTTTTTGTTTACATAGGTAGGAAACTAAATGAGGAAAGATCTGCTTTCATTAGTAGTTTTCTTTCACTAAATAAGGGTGTACATTTTAATTCTAGAGCATTTATTTGATATAACAATTCCATATGGATTTTGTCCGTGATCATTTATGGATACAATACATGCAGGGACTTGCCAATGCACATTAAGGCTTCCCATTTCTCAACATAGTTTTTGAATTAGAATATCATCTGCCAGGTTGGTTGGTTTGCTTATCAGAGTAAGATGGGCAGTATGTGATTTTAATAAATAAATATTTCTACATAGAAAAGTTAGCATGCCAACTGAGCAGTTCATTCATACACAATACCATTTCAAACTTCTTTTTCGAATATTTAGAATATCTACCTTGTCATTTTTTTTCCAGCAAGGTGGTTTGTTCCAGCTATCTGTGATCTTTTTGTAAGCGCATGTGTCCTATTATTTATTTAATTCTTAGTTAAATTATAAGGCATATGACATTTTTGCTAATAACCAGAGACTTATATTTCTGTTCATAGTAGAGGAATGGTACTAAAACTTACTTTTGGTCAGTATGCCAAATCACATTGCCAAATAAAACAAAACATTAAAACTAGAAATGCCATTCTTTTTAAATCCCAGTTCTGATCTAAATTAGTGAATTGAAATCCTCTGTAATTTCATATATTAAACTTGAATAATAATATGGTGTGACATATGGTAATAATTTAAGAAAATGTTTTGAGTAATTTGATACAGACCTCACTCTGAATAGCATAAAATAGGAATCACTGTAAGCAAGGTATAGTAAACAAACTTCCTACACTCCCAGATGAATTCTTCATATTTATAAAGAGGTTAAATAGAGCTGTATAGAGCTTATAAGATGAGATTCTCTCCATCAAGACAACTTTTCATGTCATGTCTTCCTCAGATTCCCATTTTAGAAGCCTTAAATCTATATATAAATCATCATGCTAAGAAACCGGAAATTTATACTTCAAATAGCAAGCCTACTTCTACTTGTATTTCCTACTCACATTCCACACACACACACCCTTCTTTTTCTTTATAAAGCAGGGAGCTGTACAGGAAATGGAAGAATGTAAATCAGATCTGGTCACTTCTCAAGATCCCAGTATCCAGGAGTGGCTGGCCCAGGCACAAACAACCCGTTCACAACAACAACTAAGCATCCTACAAAGACAGAAAGTGAGCATGTTGCAAATGCAAATTGTATATTTGTTTAGTGATTTTTATTTTGTTCATTTTGTTACAGATATACACTATATTGCCAAAAGTATTTGCTCACAACTGATTCTGATTATTTGGATGGCAATATAGTGTATGTAGATGATTGACAAATTATCTTAAACTTGCATCAGTCATTAATCATAAAGGATACTCTGTGTAATTGAGGTACACTTTGTCTTATTTCATTAACAATATTCTCAATAGGATGTAGCTTTTCTAGCCCTCTTCCTATTTTTATATAGAGAACATGGATATCTGCACTCAGTCTCAAGCCCATGCTGGAACCATTTTGTAATTTATAAATTGTCATAAAAGTAGGGGTTGTATATGCTGTTTTCAATTGTAAATATCTACAATTAATAGATGGCTGGACCAAATAAATCATAGCCTACAGTATATAGAGACTGCATAATAATGGAAGTTTATTATTATATTAGCTCCATTAATATGCAATAAGATCTTACTATGCAATAACAATTTTTGCTACTATAAATCAACACAGCTTTCCTCCTACAATCCTTCTACAGTGGTTATTGTTCTGATGCATCCTGTAATCGCTTCTATTTTCTAATAAGCAGCATTCTAACATCTGCTCTAAACAGGTTGTTATTTCTGTTGGAAATAATAGAACAGTAATAAAATACAGACAAATATCACCCAAGACATTTTTATTATATAGATGGGTAGAGATGAATTAATCTTTCTGGAAATTATGATATCTGCTGCTTACCAAATCTTGTTATAAATGTGCTTCTTTATCTTTATTGTGACAAATAGCAGTTACACCCTTAATTATATGTCTACTGCCTGAAACTAAAACCTCTGAGAATGGAGAATTTGTCTCATTGTGTTGGAAAGCTGTAGGAGAGGGGACCTTCCAAAATTAGAACTTAATTGTAGTTCAAATAATTCTGTTAGTAGCTGTCTGAAAAAAACTTACATACAGTGGCTATAGAAAAAAACATACATACTTTGATTTCAGCTCATTTTTTTCTTTCTAGGTAAATATCTCCAGTAGTTAGAAATCACATATTCATTGATAGAAATATGTATTTAAGACAGTTGCTTTTGTTTATTTATTTTAGGAACTAGAGAAAGAACTAGCGGAGCAGAAGAGCCTTCTTCATTCAGTGGCAAGTCGTGGAGAAGAAATTTTAACTCAATCATTTTCAGATATGCCTTATTCTAGGTGAATATTTATGCTTAAATACTTCGTCTTCCATGATCATGTCTATATATTCCCTTGTAGGGAGATTGTATGAAAAATAGTTTACATTTAAAATAACAGATTCAATTTAAGTGTTTGTCATCTGCACATTAAGTAAGTATTTGAGTATTTTTTTCTAACTAACCATTTATGAAAATGTTCCTATAAGATGATACACAGAAGATTGAATGAATCTGCTGATGGTTGGAAATATTAGAAGCCATCAGATTTTCTCATAGTGAGGATCTCTTCAGACAAATCTTCTCTGAATTAATGCTTCCAAAAATGCACTGAAGATTCATGAAATTATAGTAAATTTACATCTGATGGATAAAATTTCAGGAAAACTGTTTTGTACCTAAACCACACAATGTGGACTTTGCTTTTTATGAAAGACTCAAAATTAGCATTTCTCAGCATATTTTAGGATCAATTTATTGCATCTAAAATTTAGCCTTAGCAACTCATTAATATTTACTGTATTTAATTTACAACTCCTCTTGAATTGTTAGATTAATTGAAAATGAATTTAGTTCATTTATATTATCATTATGAAAAATGGTTTTAAACAGTGATATCACAATATTATTATAGTCCCACAGTGAGGCAGATATTTAGACTGGATTTGGCAGTTTTGTCCACCTATTGAGTCCTTCCCAAGAAATTGAGATAGATAGATGTTTATTGTTGTTGATTGCCCAGTCAACCAGATGTTTCTATTGCATTTGGCATTTTTATCCAACTATTAAGCCCACTTCAAGGACTTGGGATAGGCAGATATTGTTGTTTGATGTGTTAAACATATTATTATGGTTCATCGCATAGTGAGACAGGTATTTAGCCTGAATTTGGCATTTTTATTCACTTATTGAGTCCTTCCTAAGAATTTGGGATAGGTAGATGTTGTTATTTGATCCTGTTAAAGGTAATGTTGCCAGGTGTAAGCTGTTCCAAGTAAAGCTGCCTTTTGCAATTGTCTAATGATGATTTTGTCAATGCCAATGATGTAACTTCAAGTGGATTCCAAATTCAAATCTCATTTTAATGGCACAATTAAGGATCCACCCTAACCTGCAGGATTTGAGAAGTCATTAAAAGTCTGGTATCTTACCATATTAAATGCTAACTGAAAAATCACAGTAATTCCATTCTCATGAATTGTATTTATATTTTATATGATAGCAAGAATCCAGATAAACTAACAGAAGAACTGAGTTTAGAAGGAGAAAAGCCCTCAAGCGAAGATCAGATGAAAATGAAATGGGAAAGCCTTAATCAAGAATTCAGCATTAAGCACAGGCTTCTACAGAATGCTCTGGAACAAGAACAAGATCAGTCAGTAAGTAACCTTTTAGAATTATTTCTGTCATTCTTCATATGAACAATATTAAAGGTGTTGCTTAGCAATGTTTCCTATGCGGATAGAAAAGGACCTAATCTATCAAGCATCTAAATAGGGACTACAGGTAATCCTCAACCTATGACCACAATTGAGCCCAAAATTTCTGTTGCTAAGCAAGACATTTGTTATGTGAGTTTTGCCCCATTTTAGGACCTTTCTTGTCACAGTTGTTAAATGAATCACCACAGTTGTTGAGTTGGTGACCAGGTTGTTAAGTGAATCTGGCTTCCCCATTGACTTTACTTGTCAGAAGGTCACCAAGAGTAATCACGTGACTCTGGGACACTGCAACGGTTATAAATATGAGTTAGTT